ATACTTTTCTATTCTTTTCCTTTTTTTTTTTTTCTTACGGCATCAGTTAAAACCTTTAGTACAGGGTTGCCTGGGTGGCTCAGTCTGTTAAGTGTCTGCCTACAGCTCAGGTCATGATCCGAGGGTACTGGGATTGAGCCCCGCATTGGGCTCCCTCCTTGTCAGAGAGCCTGCTTCTTCTTCCTCTGCCTGCTGCTTCCTCTGCTTGTGTGCATGCGCGCTCTCTCTCTCTCTCTTTCTCTCTCTCTCTGTCAAATGAATAAATAAAATCTTGAAAAAAAAAACCCACCTCTAGTACAGTGTTGAACAGAAGTGGGAACAGTGGACATCCTTCTCTTGTTTCTGTCTTACAGAAGAAGCATTCAGTCATTCACCATTAAATGTGGTCTTAGCTGTTGGTATTTTGTAAATGCCCTCATCAGATTAAGAATGTTTTTTATGTATTCCTAGTTTGTTAAGAGTTTTTACTCTGAATGGTATGGAATTTGTCCAATGCATATTCTGCCTCTATTGAGATGATCATGTTGTTTTCTTCTGCTAATATGATATCTTAATTGGTTTTGGAATGTTAAACTTTGCATTCCTTTGGTAGATCCCACTTGGTCATGGTGGCCTGTCTTTTGTATTTATTAATTTCTTGTTATGTCTTATTAAGGTAGTAATGGCCTCCTAGAATGAGTCAGGGAATTTTGCCTCTTTTAATAGTTTGTTAAAGATTGGCATTATTTTTTCTTTTAAATGTTTGATAGAATTTGCCAGGGAAGTCATTTGGGCCTGACTTTTTCTTTGTGAGATTTTTAATTACTAATTCAGTTTCTTGTACGTGTCTATTCAGATTTTGTCTGTCTTCTGGAATAAGCTTTGGTAGTTTGTACCTTTCAAGGAGTTTTTCCATATCATCTAAGTTGTTGAATTTATTGGCATAAAGTTGCTAATGTTCCCTTATTTTATTTTAAAAACAATTTTTTTTAAATTTTTAAATTTTATTTATTTATTTATTCATGAGAAACACACACAGAGAGAGGCAGAGGGAGAAGCAGACTCCATGCAGGGAGCCTGACACGGGACTCGATCCAGGGTCTCCAGGATCACACCCCGGGCTGCAGGCAGTGCTAAACCTCTGCGCCACAGGGCTGCCCTGTTTTTTAAAATTTTTATAAAAGATTTTATTTGTTTGACAGAGAGATCACAAGCAGAGGGAGAGGCAGAGGCAGAGGCAGACTCTCCACTGAGCAGGGACCTTGATGCGGGGCTCAATCCAGGACACTAGGATCATGCATGACCTGAACTGAAGGCAGATGTCCAGTTGACTGAGCCACCCAGGTGCCCCCATTTATTTATTTTAAAGTATACTCTGGCCAACATCGGGCTTGAAACTATGACAGCAAGATTAAGATTATGACTGAGCCAGCCAGGTGCCTCTCATATACCATTTTAATATATGTAGGATCTGTAGTGATGTCACCCTTCTCATTCCTCATATTGGTAAATATGTATTATTTTTTCCTTACCAGTTTAGCTAGAGGTTATCAATTATGTTGAGCTTCTCAAAGGCTAGCTCTTGTTTTAACCCATTTACTCTGTTGTTTTCTCTTTTTGAACTTCATTATTTTCTGCCCTCCTCTTCCTTTGCATTTAATTTGCCCTTCTCTTTGTAGTTTATCAAAGTATAAGCTCAGGTCACTGATGCGAGAAATTTTTTAAAAGATTTTATTTATTTATTTGACAGGGAGGGAGAGAGCACACATGATAAGGGGGAGTAGCACACAGAGGGAGAGGGAAAATCAGGCTCCCTGGTCCACTGGTCCCCCAGATGTGGGACTTGATCCCAGGACCCCAAGATCACAACCCCAGCCAGAGGCAGATGTTTAACCAACTGAGCCACCAAGGCACTCTCTTCTATTAGAGATACTTAGTCCTATAAATATTCCTCTAAGTATCACTTTAGTGGCATCCTACAAATTTGAATGTTATCCTTTCATTTTCATTTAGTTCAAAGTAATGTTTTTTTAGTGCAAATCTTTTGTTCATGAATTCTTTTGTATTTTGACTTTTTTATTGCTTTATTAAGATATAATTCACATAGCATTCACCATTTAAAGCATACATTCCTTGTTTTTAGTACATTTGTAGGATTGTGCAGCCTTTATTACAGTTATATTTTAGGACATTTTTGTCCCCCTTGAAGAAACCCTATGCCCTTTAACAGTTGTTTTGATCAATTCCTACTCACTCTTTTATAGGGGAGGGATCTTCTGTCCTAAATACTACAGAATAGCTGAACATACAATACCCAACACTAGAGAGATGAGATGGACAGTAATTTGTTAGTCACATATACTCCTAGCTCAAGGGAGGGGAAAGCCTCACAACATATACAGGGTCACATGAGTGTTCTACTTGGGAGCAAAGTGAATAAGCATGAGTTGTGGGAGGCAGGCTCTGTAGTAATAGGATGAGAATAAAGTCACCCCTGCTTCCCACCAGAAGATGTGATTGCTTGTTTGAATAATCTCATGGGCTGGCAAGAAAGTAAAACTCATTAAGTTAAGAATCAGGAATAATGTGGTTGGTATAGTTAGATGGGGAACTTTTTTTTTTAAGATTTTATTTTTAAGTAATCTCTATACCCAGTGTGGGGCTTGAACTCAAACCTCAGGATTAAGAATGGCATGCCCTAGTGAGTGAGCCAGCCAGGTGCCCTGGGATCTTTTCTACTGGCTCGTGGGTGGGGGTGTGTATCTGGTTAACACTTGATTAGGCATTTGGTGCCCTGTGAGGCCCAAGGTATCAAGGCAGCACTTAATATTGAATCTTAATTTCCATGGTTTACACCACAGCAGTCAAGTCTGCACTCTGCCCTGACTCCTCCTCCAGCCCTTGGCAACCACAAATCTTTCTGTCTTTATGAACTTGCCTGTTCTGGACATGTCATATAAATAGACTCCTAGGCAGTCTTTTGTGTCTGGCTTTTCCCCCTTCACATCATATTTTCAAGGATCATCCGTGTTGTAGCACATGTCATCAGTACCTCACACCTTTTTATTGCTGATTAGTATTCCATTCTGGGGTTATACCACCTTTTTTTTTTTTTTAAGATTTTATTCACTTATTCATGATAGAGAGAGAGAGAGGCAGAGACACAGGCAGAGGGAGAAGTAGGCTCCATGCCGAGAGCCCAACGCGGGACTCCATCCTGGGACTCTAGGACTGTGCCCTGGGCCAAAGGCAGGCGCCAAACCGGTGTGCCACCCAGGGATCCCAGCCACCTTTTTTTTTTAATACATGCCTCAGTTGATGGGCTTTTGAGTTGCTTCCATTTTTTGGCTGTTAATGAATAATGCTGCTGTGAACATTTATGTACACATTTTTTTGTGGATGTATGCTTTTTGTTTTCCTTTGATGTATGCCTAACTTTTCCTTTGTTTTTTAAATAAGCTTTTTTTTTCCTGGTTATAAAATTTGGGTTGATACTTTTTTCTTTCTGCAATTTCAAAATGTACCCCCTTCTCTCTAGTTTGCGTTATTGCTGATGAGAAATCTGCTGTCATCTATCTTTATTCCTTTGAATATATAATGTCTTAGGCTGCTTTTAAGATTTTCTTTTTATCATTGGTTTTAAGCAGTTTGATTATGATGTGCTTTGGTGTAGTTTTCTTCATATTGCTTGTGTTTAGGGTTTGATGAGATTCTTGGATATATGGGTTTATGGTTTTCATCAAATTTAGAAAAACTTCAGCCATTATTTCTTTAAAAATTTGTTTGGTCTCATTGCCACTTTGGGACTTCAGTTATTCGTACAATACACTGCTTGAAGATGCTAACTGATATCTTTTCATTTTGGGGGGATTCTTTTTTCTCTGTGATGTTTTATTTTGTATAGTTTCTATTGCTGTGCTTTCAAATTCAGCACCTTTTCTAATGTCAAATCTGCTGTCAATCCCATTTAATATATTTTTCATCTCCGTTATCTCAAGAAGTTTGATTTGAGTCTTTTATATTTTCTGTCTCTGTTTAACTTTGTGAACATATGGAATACAGTTATAACTGTTTTAATGTCTTTATTAATTTTAACATTAGTTTCTATTAATTGATTATTCTCTTAAATATTTAAGAGCTTTTTTCTCCCTCTTTGCATTTCTGGTAATCTTTCAGTGGATACCTAAAATTTGCTTTGTTGGATGCTAGATAATTTTATATTCCTTTAAATCTTGAGGTTTGTTTTAGGATAAAGTTGTTACTTGGAAACAGTTTGATCCTTTCAGGTCTTACTTTCATGATGTCTTAGGTGAGTGTGTTGTCTTGCTCAGTCTAGGTTAATTATTCTCCACTACTGAGGCAAGACCTTTCTCAATATTCAGTGCCTTGTGAATTATGTGTTTTTACAGTCTGTGTGTGGAAACAGGCACTGTGACCCACTGTGAGTACTACTAGTTCTTTCCTCAGTCACACGGGGAGAAGAAATCCTGTTGGATGGCTCTTTCCCCAGCCTCAGGGAGTTTCCTCACACATACTCTCTGATCATTGCTCTGCAGATCCTCAAGATTTTCTCCTTGAAGTGCTGCTCTCTCCCTTCTGGTACTCTATTCCATAAACTCTAACTGCCTTCACACATTTTAGACTCTCAGCTAAGGGAGTCCTCCATGTTCTGCCTCATTTCATCTTCTCTGCACCACTTGCATGGAAATTCTCTTGAGGCTACCATAGGGCTTACCTTTTTTGTGTCCTGAATCTTTTGTGTTATCTGAGGTCTAAATATCTTGAAAATAGTTTCTTTTTTAACCCCTGTAGGTTATTTAAGTGGGGAGGGATGCTAAATCTAGTCCCTTTTTGCACCATTTTTTGCCGGAAAAGAAGTCTGCCCAAGGGTTTGACATATGACTAAACCAGTTGGGATGTGAACTCTTACACAGATTTTTTTTTTTTAACAGATATTTTTGTTAGTTTTTCAATTCATGATAAATTTCTTGGTCTAAGTTAGTTTTCTTTCACCCTTACAGCTTGCCTCTGAATATTGATTTGCTAGATAGCCCAGACTTACTGGAAACAACCATTGATGATGTAATTGGGGCACCTGACACTCTGGAAATAGCCCAAGCGCCAGATGAAGTTAACATAATCACCAGGCAAACCGGATTGGAGGGAACTAAAGAGGAATGCGGGAGTAAGTATAGATGTTCTATATAACATCAAGGACAAGTTTTTATTTTACATCCCTTTAAAATGAGCTATTTAAATCTGTTACTTCAAGCATATTTTATGCAATAGTTGAATTTTAAAATTTAATGGAGAATAGTTATGCCTTCTTTTTGGCTTGAGTGTCCATTGAAATAGTTAAGATCATATAATTGGGACAATTAAACATTTGTATCATTTATAAGTTATTAAACATTTACAGATTTTCAAACTTACTTTTTACTTTGAGTGAAAATTAAGAGAAAGAAAAATGTTTCCATAAAGATTTTCTGTATTACAGGATTTAATAAATGTTTGGGTATTCCATTAGCTCCTAGAAAGTATTTTGTTATCAATGAGGACTGTTGTTGCCCTGACCGCAAAAATAAATAATCCAGGAGGGGTGCTGCTTTCCTTAACTTTTTAAAAAGTTAAAAAGGAACAATAAATTGAAAATATCTATGTATTTGTGAATTTGGTTTGATATTAAAGTATAAACTACCTTTAGACAGGAGCTTTCTATTAAATATCAGTGTAATGTGTGTTCATTTAAAAGCAACTCGTATTTATATGACCATTCCCAATTTTGATTTCTATCACTAATGTCGGACACCACCCTTAAACAGCTCATAGGGAACTGCCAGTGAATATGTGGTTGTCTGAAGAGCATAGAATACAGCAACAGTATGTAATAACTTAGAATAGAAAATGTTAATGGAAAGTTATTCAGTGCTTCTGGTTAATGGAACATGCTAAAGTACTACTGGTAATTAGTTTGTCCCTTTGTTCCTTAAGTAATCATTACAAATACAAAGTGAAGCAAATGTTTTTAGCCATAAGCAGGACTAGCTTAACACAGAATATTTCCAGGGTTAAAATAAAAGTAATCTTCCTATTGTAGAGATGGCAATATTGATTTTATATATACATTCCATTTTGTATCCATTATATGAATTACAAAAAAATTTTTTTCTTCTCTTTTAGTGCTGCCACAGCATAGTTTTAGCAAACAGCATTTATTTAGTATATACTTTCCAGGAGATGGTTTTGGTTTTGGAGAACATGGTAGAATGAACTAGGAAAATGCCTAGGAAAGGAACAAATAAGATGTATAATAAGTCTCCAAATATGTATAATAACTCTCCAAGCCTGATGTATCAAAGAATTTATTGTGCTTTATTGGTGAATCTTGGATCAGGAACTTCAAAGAGTAGGGAAGCATTAGAATCCGTATATAGGAGACTTTTAAAAATCTCTCTGCCATATATCAGAAATAGATACCTAACACTGAGTGAGCCCCCTCATTACAGAAGGTACCTAATTGGCAATAATTGCACCCTGGAAAAAACGTCATTGGCTCTGAAACTGCCACTGTGCAAAGCTTACAGAAGGTACTCAAAGCAGAGCTTAAATACGACATTGAAGTTGTGGCAGAAAAAATTATTGTGTAGTGTGGAGGTTTCATTAATTAAACTTACTCCAGTTCAGGTTTATAATATTTGTTCAAAGTCATTCAGTGAAAATAGTGTGTTTTGATATTAAGAATTAAGGCCTTACAATATGTTGGCAAATTGAATTTAAAATATTAAAAAAAAAAGAACATCTTATAATCCTGGTGTCCAATTTATTCTGTATTTTCTTTTGGCTGTAATGTCAAAATCCTGATTCACATAGGTAAGAAGTTAAAATATAAAAAACAGCTTATCCTATTTTTTTAGGATGTTCCTCAGCCAAACAGTAATAGCATAAAAAGCTTTATTTCAACCAGAAAACCCCCCAAAACCTAAGTTTTGGGGTATTAATTTTTGGGGTATTAATTTATAAGCATAAGCTAAAGTATTTGTGGTCTCAACATCATCATGTTAAAATTTAGTATTGCATAATTTGAAGCATTGCCAGGAGATGGCAATTAAGTATGTAAATGAGGGCACCTGGGTGGCTCAGTCAGTTAAGTATCTGACTCTTGATTTTGGCTCAGGTCATGATCTCACCTGAGATGGAGCTCCACACTGAGTATGGGGCCTACTTAACAATCTCTCTCTACCCCTCTCCTTTTCCTTCTTAAAAAAAAGTATGTAAATTAGTATGGAAGATTTTGTGAAGATCAGTGTTGAATTCATGATTCTCAGTTTTGTACATTAAAATTACGTGTAAAGTTTTAAAAACTACCAGTACCAGAAAACTATATCTGAAAGTTCTGTTATCATGGTTCTAGGATCAGCTGTGGGAATCAGTATTCCTTAAAGGCTCCACATCTGATTGTAATGTGTAGCCAAGACAGTGATTCGCTGAGTTAATTAATGGACACTTTTATAAGATCTCTTTGACCAGGAGAAAGTGATTTCATCATTTTTCCCTCCTTTCTACTGGATTAACTAGAAATTACTAGGCATTCAACAGCTTTTTTTTTGTCAAGTGACAGTGTAAAAATTTAACCAAATTCATCCCTGCAAAATAAGATTATTAGTGGTTAATTTTTTTAAGATTTTATTTATTTATTTGAGGGAGAGAGAACAAATGGGGGGGGGTGAAGGACAGATGGAGTGGGAGAAGTAACCTCTCGGTGAGCAGGGAGCCAGCCGTGGGGCTTGATCCCAGGACCCCAGGATAGTGACCTGAGCATGTTTGAGCATGCTGAGCAAAGACACATGCTTAACCTACTGAGCTACCTAGGCACCCCTGGAAGGGTTAATTTAAATAGAATTCATTTAAAGCTGAATTGTGCTTAATATATTATCTTTTCTTTCAATGGTTAGAGAAATTTATTTGTAATGTGTTTTTCAGCTAGGCAAAACATAATAAAGACAAAGGGCTTGTCCTATATCACATCTTGTGTTATCAATATGTACTCAGTTGAATCAGTGAATGAATAAATATATGTCTTTCATCTGTTTGCACCACAGAAGTGTAGTTTTAAGCAGAGTATAGTCAATGCCAAGGAAATAAAGTGGCAAAGTACTGAGGTTTGGAAGGAGGAGCTTGCATTGTGGTAATGGAAGGATCATGTCACAGGTGTTCTCTGCCTTTTCTTATCTTTTGGCTTGTAAGCCTACTTAATCACACATGCTATTGAGATTCCATATCTAGTGGCTTTCTACAAGTGGTATAGATACAAGGCAATATTCTTACAATTTAGGTTAACTCTTAAATTAATAGTTACCTAGTTGTAGAAAGAAAATATATTTATCCTGTGGTCATATGGATTATTCCATTTAATTGTTGGTAATATGTTGGGAAAAAACCTTAAGTGTATACCTTCACACAGTTCTGACAGCCTGCCTAAGAGGCCATGTTGCCATTTTTTCTCAGCATTAAAAGATGCCTCACAGAAGCTCAAACACCTTGAGATGGAAAGTAGTCCATTGCCATCCCCTCGTCCCAACATTGATGTCAACATCAACAACCAGGTATTCAGAGTTCTCCTTCGTATATCTGCACATCTCCAGATCTCCTAGAAATCTCTGCCTTCCAACGCTGATACTTTCTCTTTTCTTTTGCTGGGGAATGTGTGTGTGCCGACCTCTTACAGACCTATTTCAAAAGCACAATTTGTGGATGTTCAGGAGGAAAGGAAGAAACTTGGGCAGTGATAAGAACTGTAAGGTCATCTCCTAAGTGTTTTTAAACATGCATGCAAAGTGTTGTAGCTGCTTTAAACTTGTCATTTTGATTCAGCCTGTCCTTAATTTTGTTCAGTGGGTCTTGATGTAGGTGAAGGTGACAGCCTTTTGAAATTACAGAAGGATTTGAGGCACTTGGGTGGCTCAGTCATTTGAGCATCTGACTGTTGATTTCAGCTCAGGTCCTGAAATCAGAGTTCTGGGATCAAGCCTTGAGTCAGGGTCTGAGCTAAGTAGGGAGGCTGGTTGGGATTCTCTCTCCTCTCAGTCTCTCCCCACTCCCCATGTGCATACTCTCTCTTTCTCTCAAGTAAATTAAAATCAATTATAGAAGGATTTGTTCAAAAGGGAGCTACTCTGTCATATAAATAGGGAAAAGAATGGAACTTGAGATACTTCAACTTCATCCTTCATAACTTTCACCACTCTGTGTCCTTGGAGTTTTAGGTGTGGCATGGGGGGTGCATACTGATTTAACCAATTAAACTTCAGTTAATTGAGTGTAATTTAAATTTTTTCTTAAATGACTTATAGGAATAAAGTAAATCAAATAAGATAAAAATAATTCATTGTATCTACTACTAGATGTCCCTACTGAATGGAAGAATAAATTTTAGATAATGATCTGGAAAGACCCTTTTTTCTCTATACATAGACCATAGGTAACAAGGATCTGCTGAATGAATTTTGTTTTGATTTTAAAGAGGGAAAAGGGACCAGCTGATTTGCAGTGCTGTTTCATATATTGGATAACTAACTGGAATTTCTTCAGAGGCCAGTATGATCTAGAGAGTGATTTTCTTCTTTCTTGTCATTGTTTAAGCTATTCTTTGAATCCAAATTTTTTTTTGTTTTCTTTTTCTAGTATGTTTTTGCTTAGAGATGTCTTTTAGAAGCTGATTAAATTCCAGAAAGACTCATTTTCTTGATCCCTTAGTAATTTTCCATTATATTTGTGTGTTTGCTTTCATATTGTCAGTTGTTTTACTATCTGTAGGTAGCAGAACACAGGGTCAGAGACAGAAAAGTTAATTGAAAGCTTTGGATGAAAGCTGTAGATTGTTAGCAATTAATTAGAGAAAAATTTAATGGAGTACTGGAATGATCCTGAAGGAGAATGATGACTGGTGAATCTTGGTGGGTGTAGGGTGGGGGGAAGAGAAGTGATTGTTACACTGGAAGGGAGTTCATGGAAATCCACTGAACAGCTATGTGCTTCTTTAGTAAAATTCCCTGCATATCTCTTTATAACTGAGCCTCCAAAGCAAAGAATCTGTTAAATTACTCTTGAAGCCTTGAAAAAAGAAGAAGAGTTCAGGATAGGAAAGGGAGAGTAAGAATGGGTTAGGTAAAGGACAATGTGCTGTCAAGGAACATTCTGGGGTTCACATAAGTAGGAAAAATAATAGCTAATACCTAGTAAGAACTTACTCAGTGGCAAGCAGGAATAACAAGAAAGAATTCAGTGCTGTACTAAAAATAAAAACTAAGATATTGGACTACTTCTATCTTTGCAACTGGAGTGTTGTATAAAAGTTGATTCATGCTTTATTTATATGACACATTTTTAATCCAGTCTGATTACCTCTACCATCAGTAGTTCATGTTTGCTTAGGAAATGCAAATTAATCTTAATAATCAGCTTTCCTAACTAAAGTAATCTTAGGATGAAAAACCTGTAAATAAAATACATTGTTCTAAAACAAAGTATAAGGTTTGGATGATTAGCTCCAAGAATTTGTGTAACTGAGAAGGTCTAAGCCATGTTAGGCTTAGACTAGCACTACTTGCAGCAGAGTTGACTTTAAACTCATTTCTTGAGAACCCATTTTAAAGAGATCTTATACCATGTGAGACCTGCATTATCCAGGATTGATGCAATAACTTGACATTCCAATACACTTTATTCATTTCTACAAACATGTTTATTGTTTACTCTTTGTAAGATAAACTAATGAAATATTTTGTGGAATCCACCGAAGAATGACAAAGTCTTGGCTGTCAAGAAACTTAGATCTGTCCCATCAAGCCCCATAGAAATATTGCAAGTGGTTTTCTCCAGTGACCCTTCCTATAACATATTTCCTATAATAGTAGAATTTTCAGATGAAAACAGCCAGGAAGTAATAGTTTTTTGAAAGGCAAAATCAGGATCCATAAAGATGGACAGGCTGGAATGATGGACTGGATTTAAGAACATATATTTTAAGTCAGACACAAATATAGGATTAGGATAAAGAGGTAGAATATAACACAAGCATGTGTAAAAAAATATTTTGAGAATATATAAATGTGTTTGAAGTGTGACTGTCAGCTATATTGTATTAACTGAAAGGATTTAAAAAGGAAGATCCAGGGACACCTGGGTGGCTTAGCCGGTTAAGTGTCTGCCTTGGGCCCAGTTCATGATCCTGGGGTCCTGGAATTGAGCCCCAGTTGGTTTCCCTGCTCAGCGGGGAGTCTGCTTCTCCCTCTGCCCTTTCCCCGTTCATGTGTGTGTGCATGCACGTGCTCTCTCTCAAATGAATAAAAATCTTTTTAAAAAATAAAAAGGAAGATCCAAACATATTACAGTCATTTCTGAGTACCACTCTTCAAAAATGATTTAGGAAACTAAAGCAGTTTGAGAAGAGAAAGAACTGTATGGTTGAAGGCTCTTGAAGCTGTTATAACTAAGGATTAGTAATCCCAGGAAATAGCATTTTAGGTATCTGAAGAGGTATTATGTGAAAGAGGAATTAATATAACCTGTTTTTTTAACAGCCTCAGAGAAGAGATAAGGTCACTGAGTATGTTAGAGGTGTGCAGATTTCACCTTGATAGAAGAGTTTCCTGGGGCACCTGGCTGGCTCAGTTGGAGAGCGTTTGACTCTCGATCTTGGGGTGGTGAGTTTGAGCCCCACATTGGGTGTAGACATTACTTAAAAGTAAAATCTTAAAAAAAAAAAAAAAAGGCATTTTGTAACAATAATTTCCAAATTGTATGGGATTCCCAAGAAAGCATGTTCTCCAGCATGGGCAGTTCCTCAGGTGGAACTGGGGGGGGGGGTGCATACCAATTAACCACATTTTGGAGTCTTTTTTCTTTTTTTTGGTAAAGATTTTATTTATTCATGAGAGACAGAGAGAGAGAGGAGAGAGAGAGGCAGAGACACAGGCAGAGAGAGAAGCAGGCTCCATGCAGGGAGCCTGAGTTGGGACTTGATCCCAGGTCTCCAGGATCATGCCCTGGGCTGAACTTGATGCTAAACCGCTGAGCCACCCAGGCTGCCCCATTTTGGAGTCTTGATGGTTGGAGAAACTGATTATTCCTTCCAATCTTGAAATGCTGTGACTAAATGTCATTGTGGGAATTCTTCCCTCTTTTGGTATCTCCTCCTTTTGGAAACACAGTCACAGTTTCTGTGCTTGACCTATGTGTTTGAAATCTTTTAGGGCCTATGCTGTATCAAGGTCTATAGATTTTTCAAATTACCTTCATCCTCCTAATTACCTGAGGCAATTCCAAGATTTTTTTTAATCTCCAAATTTCATTTTAGGGAATTATTTTTTTCTTCTTCTTCAATCAGCAGTTCAAAAAAGTACTGTTTAAAGCATGGCTGGGGTGCATGGCTGGCTTAGTTGGTGGAGCATGCAACTCTTGATCTTAGAGTTGTGAGTTTGAGCCCCATGTTGAGTGTAGAGATTACTTTTAAGTAAAGATTTTAATCTTTACAAAAATGCTTAAAGTAACAAAAGTTAAATTGCATTTATTAGTGGGTGCAGGTGGCATGGCCTTTAACAACTAGTCTCTTTAGGGTAAACAATTAAAAATAAGATATGGTGATTGTGTTCTCTTGACTAGAAGTTGGCAGGCTGTTTCAGTGAAGGGTCAGATAATAAATATTTTAGTCTTGCCAACCATACAATCTGTTAGGACTACTCTTGCATTGTAGCATAAAAGCAACCATATAGGAATGAGCATGACTGTGTTCCAGTAAACTATATACAAAAACAGGTGGTGGGTTAGATTTGGCTCGTGGATTATGATTTGCTACCACATGATTTGCTTGTATCCAGACTTTTTTTTTTTTTATGATAGTCACAGAGAGAGAGAGAGAGAGGCAGAGACACAGGCAGAGGGAGAAGCAGGCTCCATGCACCAGGAGCCCGATGTGGGATTCGATCCCGGGTCTCCAGGATCGCGCCCTGGGCCAAAGGCAGGCGCCAAACCGCTGTGCCACCCAGGGATCCCCTTGTATCCAGACTTATACCCTTTTAGGGTATAACCAAGATGTATCTCCAAAACAAAACTTGGCACATTGATTAAAACAGAGGAAAAAAAAAAAAAGAGTTTATTCTAAGCATTGCAACCTGCAAGCCAGAGATCTCAAGGCTGCAGGAGCAATGAGTTCTGAATTGCTCACAGACTATAAGTAAGGGTTTTTTGTTTGTTTTTGTTTTTTTAAAGATTTTTTATTTATCCATTCATGAGAGAGACAGAGAGAGAAGCAGAGACATTAGGCAGCGGGAGAAGCAGGCTCCCTGTGGGGAGCCCGATGTGGGACTCTATCTGGGGACCCCCAGGGTCAGGCCCTGAGCCAAAGGCAGATGCTCAACCGCTGAGTCACCCAGGCATCCTACAGACTAAGGGTTTTTTATGGCACAAATATGAAAGTTTTTTGTTTTTTTTTTTTCCAACTGATTCGTTGCTTTGGCGGTCCTCTTTCTTATTTGGATCAGGGTAGCTAAGTCAGGGAAACAAGTAAGTCCAGAGGTGGACAGATTTGGCATTTAGAGGTTGTCCGGTGTTCTCTGCTGGTTTCTGAGAACTATAAATTCTTGTTAGGTTTCTTTTGGGCACCCACGTTGACTGTCTCCATATTTATCCTTGACATAAGTGACTCATTTTAGTTGCTTCTACAAGTAACTTTTTTTATGTTTGCCCCCAAGTTGGACACAGAAGGTATGGTAATAGTTTTAACTTCCTTTAGGAAATGGAAGCAGTTTTCAGACCTTGGCTGTACAAAGGCCATATTTCTCCAGGGATCAATGAGCTGTTATATATCATGTAATGAGTAAATAAAAATTATACTTTTTATGAATACAAAGCCAAATATTTCCTATTTGGCAATAATAGGAACCTCTTGAGTTCTTGGCTGAGATCCCTGTCACCAAAGACTGATTAACAAGAGAAAAACAAGTTTAATTAACATATATATAGTTAATGTAATATAAGGGAAACACCAAGGGAAAAATGAGTAACTTTCAGAGTGAGCTTAGAATTCCTGCTTAAATACCATCTTCAGCTAGACTCAAAAGAAAGATGTAGGGGAGGCCAGTTATGGGGAGATTACATGGTAAACCTGATAAACAAGAGTAAAGTTGTTATGCAGATTTAATCACTTGCTTTTCATTGAGAAGGGTCTGGAGTATTCAGGGATTAACCTTCGTCCTTCCAGGTAGAGGGGAGGAGGGGCACCTTTGAATTTATTTTTTGCTTTAAGGCAAATGGGGGGTGTGGTGGTGTGGAGCAGAAAACTTTTGTCTCTGCTTCTTGTTAGTTAAGCTCAAAATAATTTTTATCCCACGCCTGGGTGGCTCAGGGGTTGAGCATCTGCCTTCTGCTCAGGGTGAGATCCTGCAGTCCCGGAATCGAGTCCCACATCGGGCTCCGTGCATGGAGCCTGCTTCTCCCTCTCCCTCTGTCTCTGCCTCTTTCTCTCTTGTCTGTCATGAATAAATAAAATCTTAAAAAAAAATTAAAAAAAAATTTTTATGCCAAAGTGGCGTATTTTGGGGGCAAATATTCTGCTACCCTTGATTATTTCAGCTTGAAGAATAGTTACTAAAGATACTAATATTGTTGGGGCAGGTTGCAGGTTTTTAAAAAATAATTTTTATTTTTATTATTTTTAAAAGATTATTTATTTATTTATTCATGAGAGACAGAGAGAGAGAGAGGCAGAGACATAGGCAGAGCTGAGCCACTGGGGCTTGCCCATATATTCAGTTTAAAAAAAAGGAGGGCAGCTGGGGTGGCTCCGCAGTTTAGCACCGCCTTCATCTCAGGGCCTGATCCTGGAGACCTGGGATCAGTCGAGTCCCACGTCGGGCTCCCTGCATGGAGCCTGCTTCTCCCTCTGCCTGTGTCTCTGCCTTTCTCTCTCTCTCTCTGTGTGTCTCTCATGAATAAATAAATAAAATCTTTAAAAAATAAATAAATAAATTGAAGTATAGTTGACATCAAATTTTACATTGGTTTCAAATGTGCAACATAGGGATTCTACAATTACATGCATTATGAAATGCTCACCGTAAGTGTAGTTATTGTCTGTCACAGTACAAAGTTATTACAGTATTTGTGTTCACTATGCTAAGATATCCTTGTTTTTAAAGGTAAATAATATTCCATATATACATGTACACTCGCCACATTTAATACATCATCCTTTGATGGATGTTTAAGTAGCCTAATACTTTCACTGCCTAATATTGCAGTGAACATGGGAGGGCAGATAGCTATTCAGAATAGTGATTTTGTTTCCTTTGGACATATACCCAAAAGTGGAGTTGCTGGATCATACTGTATAAACTAGCCATGATTGAAAGAGGACCTAGGGACTTCCTGCAATTAGTAGGAATCATTCTGAAGACAAGGCAGTCATAGGCATAAATAGAGTTTAGTACAAAGCAGTAATTCTCAGACTTCTTTCCATATTAAAATCACTAGGGAAGCTCCTTCCTCATTCAGATGTTAGGGTCCCACCCAGAGGCAGGTGTGTGAAAATCACACTGAGAAACACCAAATAAGAATAAGCACGTTAATTAAGTCCTCCAAATCTGAAAGAATGGTGTAGTGTGTAGTCCCATACATGCCAGCTAGCCTGTTCTACAGAACAGAAGCTGTTCTAAAACTAAGAAAACGTTTAGAGTGAGTTTGTTGTTTAGACCAGCCTTAAATACCAAGCACAGTAATAATAATAATTGTTTTTGTTGTTATTCATCTTAAGTATCAGTTATAATGCAGATGATTTAAATTTACTTTTTTTTAAGTAGTCTCCATGCCCTAGACCCCAAATGTGGGGCTTGAACTCACAACCCTGAGATCAAGACCTGAGCTGAAGTCAAGAGCCAGACACTTAACCAGTTGAACCATCTAGGCACCCCTAGACTAACTTTTTAATTTGCTTTGTTCCATTTATTTCTTTTCATAATGATTTATTTAGTTTTCATTATGACCTTCACTGACTAGGTCTTTTTTCTGTGCTTTATTCTATTATTTTCATAGTCTGTACCTGAGAGTGACTGTTTGTGGCTATATAACATAACCCTAAACAAAATCATCTATCTGGTGACAGCACCAGAATTGTAGGGATTATTATCCTGTGTATGGCCTAATCTAAAATCCAGTTAAATGACAGCAAACAGCACATGTTCTCCCTGTGTGCTTTAATTCAGGCATTTATCCTGGATCATGTAGTCATTCAGTTGCTTTAAAGACAGGAAATTGGGCTATATGATTTCTATAGATCCCTGCCAATTCATGTATCATGTTTGTGATTATTGCACCTTACTTTGAAGCCTCCTGTGGGAGGTGACTATTCTTGGAATAGGATAGGACTACTTAAGATATGTGATTTCCTGGTTGTCTGGATATGAACTTTCATTGGCCCCTTTCCTATTTCCATACAATTATAGCCCACCAGAATTGCTTACAGTATATTTTTAATATCTAGGAGGAGGTGATGAAGTTGACTGAGAAATGTCTTAATAATGCCATTGAGAGCCCAGGAGTAAATGCCAGGAGAGTTCCTCCTGACTTGAAGAGTAACATTTTGAAGGCTCAAGTAGAAGCAGTGCACAAGGTAAGCTGCCTTTAATGGGGATAGTCCTGATGAAGGAAAAAGAACAAGAGACTTCAGGCTGAGAGACCTGAAAACACATAAAGTACATGAGTGTTAAAGAAGAGTGATCTACTTAGTGATTGGAGATAGAGAATATCACCCAGACACGTGCTCAAGATGCCTTCCTGAGTCTAAGTACAAGCTAGATTAACAGGCAGTCATGGGATAAAAAGTTGAGAGTGAAGACCTTCGAGGGCCTAAGAAGTTTTTGGTTTGTTTTAAAGCCACATTCCTATAGGGCATAAGAAATTGTGTGTTTTTTTCTTTTTAAGTCAAATTCCTATAGAAGTGAGTCCCTAATCTTTGCCACTTTTATAGCCAGAAAATCTAATGATTTTTAGGTTCCTATGAACACTAAGTCTGTGGTTTTAGGTCTTTCTTTACCAGTCTGCTATTCCCCACCAACTGTCTGCCCTCAGTTTGGCAGAGTTGTGTGTCAGGAGAGAGAGAGTTGCAAGATGAAGGAGTTGACTGTGACATTGTGAAGGATGCATTGGGAAGGGACCAGCCCCCATGAAGTTTATGGCATCCATGTTCTCAAAGTCAGTTTGTTCTAATGCTCCCTAACTTTCATTCTTAAACTCCAGACTGAAATCAGGACAGAAGCCCATCTGACCAAATCATGTTATCAACTAGAATTTCAGAATATCCTGTTGTTGAGAAGGTACACTTTCCATATCCTGCCCCAAGGCAAAAGCCTTGAAGAGAACCTGACAAGACTTGTGGAATATTGTTCATGCTTTAGTTATCTATCCTCTCCCCCCAGTATAAACATAAAGCATAATATTTGCCTATAAATATAAAATATGGGGGACCCGAGTGGCTCAGTGGTTGAGCCTCTGCCTTTGGCTCAGGTTGTGATCCTTGAAATCCTGGGATCTGGTCCCACATCAGGCTCCTTGCAGGGAGCCTGCTTCTCCCTCTGCCTATGTCTCTCATGAATAAATAAATAAAATCTTTTTTTTAAAAAAAAGGTAAATATAAAATATGACAGTGCAGACTCTGGAATCAGACATCTTGAGTTTGAATCACATTTCTAGTCTACCGCATACTAGTGTTGTGACTTAGCAAGTTAGATTCTTTGAGCCTCAGTTTAATTATGTTTAAGAAAGGATATTTGTGGTACCTACCTTAAGGGAGAATATAAGGATAAGATAATAAATGTAAAAGACATGAAGCAGTGAGTGCCTGGCACATAAAGAACATCTACTTAAGTGTTGAAATCCCCCATGTTGAAGCTACATGTTGTATTAGCAATGGTAGTAATTGTCACTATCTTACATTTCATTTACACTTTTGGATTTTTCTTGACTTGAAGAAGAGAAAAATAACTTGAATAGCCCTAAAATAAAAGAGATTTTATTTTATAATTCAAAACCTTCCCATGAAGAAAATCCAGGACCAGATGCCCTCATTATTGAATCTGTTGAACTTTTAAGGAAGAAATAACAGTTCCACACTAACTCTTTCAGAAAATAGAAGAGGAGGGAATGCTTCCCACCTCATTTAATGATACTAATATTACCCCAGTACCAAAGCCAGAAAAAGATTTCATATGAAGAGAAACTATAGGGACGCCTGGGTGGCTCAGCGGTTGAGCGTCTGCCTTCGGCTCAGGACCTGATCCCAGGACCCGGAATCGAGTCCCACATTAGTCACCCTGTGAGGAGCCTGCTTCTCCCTCTGCCTGTGTTTCTGCTTCTCTCTCTTTCTCTCTCTCTCTCTGTGTCTCTCATGAATAAATAACTAAAATCTTTAAAAAAAAGAAAAGGAAAGAAACTATAGACCAATCCCCCTCTTATACATAGACCCAAAAATCCTTAACAAAATAGACCAAGTAGCATATACCTTAGGAAAAAAGTTGGTTTATTATTGAAAAACCTCTATAGTTCACCATATGAAAAAGTAAATTGTTTCAATTTATATGGAAAAGGCATTTCACAGAAATCAGTACCCATTTGTGATAAATGCTTATGGCAAACTAGAACTAGAATGGCACTTCTTCAGCATAATGAAAGGGCATCAATGAAAAAAATCTACAGGTAGCATCATACTTCATGCTGAAAAACACATTCACTAAAATGGCCAGGATTAAAAACTGACCATCCCTGTGTTGGCTATGATGGAGCTCTGCCGTGCACACTCCTGATAAGGATATAAAATGTTATAAACACTTGAGGAAGAGTTTGACAATGTATTAAGCATGTACTTCCCACATGACCACACAGGTCCACTCTGAGGTATTTACCCAAGGGAAATGAAAACAGGCTCACACAGTACACAAATGTTCCTAGCAGTATTATTCGAAATAGCTAAAAACTAGAAACAAGCCAAATGTCCATCAGCAGGTAAACATAAACAAATTGTGGTATATCCATTCAGTGGAATGGTACTCAGCACATAAAAAGGATGAATTAGTGTAGCACCATGGGTGAATCTCAAAAACTTCATGCTATTCTAAAGAAATAGACTCTAAAAAGATAGGTATTGTGAGTCCATTTATATGAAACTATAGAACATACAGCTCACTGTTTACCATGTGTAAAGGTTTTTGATGGGGTTGCATTGGCCATAAGGGAACATTATAGGGTAGTGAAAATGTTGCACATGTTGACTCTGGTGTTGGTTATGCACCTGTATATATTTTTCAGAATTCGTCAAACTCCTTAAAACATGTGCACTTACTGTATGCAATGATGCTTCAATAAAGTTAGAGGAAAAAAACCTCTTCAGAAAAATATTTTAGAATTTCCTCCTAATAAATTCGTTGTCTTTAGGGAAAAATAAAAAGCCGAATATACCACTTAACATCTCTTTCTTCTTCTCATCATGTAAATTCCAAAAATCCTGGCATTGAATCTTTTTGGGATTCTGATATATTTACTAACACACCATGGTGTCTTAAATGAGAGCTGTCTAGTAAAGGGTGTGAATTTGTATACTACTGAAGTGGAAGTGTAGATTATTATTTGGGTATGGGATGGGACCATACTAGGTGTAGTACTGATACCTTCAGAGGTATGATAACCTCTGGAACTGAAGCAAAGTGATAGTTCTCTTTTTACCAGAAGTGTAAATTTCTTGTTACTTTTAGTATCTTCAACAAATGCTTAATTTTTTTTATGACTTCATTTTCTTAGGTTACAAGAGAAGATAGCTTACTAAGTCATAAAAACTCCAATGTTCAGGATGCTGCTGCAAACAGGTACAGGTCTGGGTTAGATGGAATTAAGTTGCTGTTCTCTTCTTAACTTGTCTTCACTCCATTACATAGCTGTTTACTACCAAGTTTTAGATTATCTGGAGATACTTCTAATTAGTCTTCCTACATTCCCATCTTTTACTGAATCAAACTGCAGAGCTAAAGCAATCTTGAAATATATTTTTAATCTTATTCATGGTGAAAAATATATGTTATTTCTCTTAACTCTGGTGCCATTTTGTTATCATGGTGGTCTTAGAAACTTTTTCTTACTGTGGGCTCTGCCATTATTCGAGTAAATTTCTTTGCTTTTCTCTCCAAGTCCCTTCTGCCTGTCTTTTTCTTAATGAGTATCAGGCCATTTATTCGTTTTGCTAGGCTTTGATCCCCTGCTCTTTGCCAATTTGTATTGTTGTTCATCACTGTATATCCAGTGTTCTGTGCTTAGTCAGTGCTAAACATTGTTGAATGAATGAATGCTGTTACTTTTCCCGTTATTCAAAACGTATTCAATGAGGAATTTCCTGATTAATCATATTCAGTTCTAGATATTGTAGTAAAAATAGCCCTTAAGCATATAGCATGCTTTGTATATATGACTTTATAGTTAGTATTCAACAAATACACTAATTGGTGATCAGGATAAAACTGGAATTTTAATTAATTTCAGTAAATCAGTTGGCCCACATTTTAAATACTGTCATTATTAGAGCCTTTTAGAACTTGATAATTTTTTTTTTTTTTTTTTGCCGGTTTGAGGATAATGGGGTTAGGACTGCCAAGTGTAAAAAAAAAAAAAAAAAAGGACTGCCAAGTGTCATTGAACTCTTAAAGCTGGAAAGAGCCTAAACTCTTTTTTTTTTTTTTTAAAGACTTTATTTATTTATTCGTGAGAGACACACACAGAGAGAGAGAGGCAGAGACACAGGCAGAAGCAGGCTCCATGCAAGGAGCCGGATGCGGGATTTGTTCCCCTGTCCCCAGGATCACACCCTGGGCTGCAGGCGGCGCTAAACCGCTACACCACCGGGGCTGCCCAAGAACCTAAACTCTTAAAGCTGGAAAGAACCTAGAGTGTCTCCAACTTCTAGATTTGCTTTTCTAAATGGCTAATGATATTTTAAATGATCTATTTTCCTCCTACGATTTGAAATGTATTAAAATATCCTTGTTTAAACATTTTTTAAAAAGATTTTATGTATTCATTCATGAGAGACAGAGAGAGAGAAAGAGAGAGAGAGGCAGAGACACAGGCAGAGGGAGAAGCAGGCTCCATGCAGGGAGCCCGACACGGGACTTGATCCCGGGACTCCAGGATCATGCCCTGGGCCAAAGGCAGGTGCTAAACCCCTGAGCCACCCAGGGATCCCCTAAATTCTTGTTTAAACTTGGGTCTATTTCTGGACCTTTCCTTTTCTGTTAATCTTTTATGTTATCTGTTTTGTCCCCATGCCATACAACAACCCCCCTGCACACATACACTTTTAAAAAGATTTTATTTATTTGAGAGAGAGCGAGCGAGAGCATGAGCAGGGGGAGGAGCAAAGGAGAGGGAGAAGCAGATTCCTTGCTAGGCAGGAAGCCCAATATGGGGCTGGATCCCAGGACCCCAGGATCATGACCCGAGCTGAAGGCAACCACTTAACTGAGCCACCCAGGCACCCCTACCCCCTTTTAAAAAAAGGAAATATTTCAAGCATAGGCAAAACTGTGGAGACTATATATTGTCTGTGTACCAAATATTAAGCTTTGTAACATTTTTACATTTTGCTGTAGTAGATTTAGACCATTTTTCCTTTATCTTTTTTTACTGAGTTTTAATTCCCATACCATACTGTTTTCCCTTTATAAATATACAGTTCAGTGCTTTTTAGTACACTGACGAAATTTTACACCATTACCACTAATAACATAACATTTATATCACTTCTAAAAGAAGCACCACACCCATTGCAGTCTCTCCACATACTGCATTTGCCTACTCTGATCAGTTCATATAAATGGAATCACATAATATATGGCCTTTTGTATCTGGCTTCTTTCATTTAACATAATATTTTCAAGGTTGATCTACATTGTATCATGCATTGGTCCTTCACTCCTCTTTAGGGCCAAATAATATTCCATTGTATTAGATATACCAATTTTGTTTATCCATATATCAATTGATGGGCATTTGTGGTGTTCCCACTTTTTGACTATTATGTTATGAATATTCATATATAAGAATTTTTGTAGACATGCTTTTAATTCTCTATATACCCAGGAGGGTTACTCCTGAGTCAGTCAATGTAGTAACTCTGTTTACCTTTTTGAAGAACTGTAAAACTGTCTTCCATAAACAGCTACAACATTTTCAATTCCCCCAGTAATGTACGTGGGTACCAGTTTCTCCACATCCTTTCCAGTGCTCATTATTCTCCATCTTTAAAACTACAGCAAGGGGATCCCTGGGTGGCTCAGCAGTTTGGCACCTGCCTTTGGCCCAGGGCGTGATCCTGGAGTCCCGGGATCGAGGACTCTCTCTCTCTCTCATTCTCTCTCTCTGTCTATCATAAATAAATAAGTCTTTAAAAAAATATTAAAAAAAATAAATAAAACTACAGCCATCTTAGAGAGTATGAAGCATGTCTCATTTTGGTTTTGATTTTCATTTACCTGAGGACTAATGTTGAGTATCTTTTCTACCTTGGAGAAATGGCTATTCAGATCATTTATTTTTGTAGTAACAGCTTTACTGAGATAAAATTTAAATACTGTGCAGTTCACCTGTTAAAGTATATAATTCACTGGTTTTTGTTCTGACATATTTATAAAATTATCCATGCTTCCTTCATTAACTACCAATACATAAGTCAGGCACAGTTCATTCATTATTAATGGGCCGGTGTTTGTTCCAAATTAACAATGTACTTGTTCTTACTTACACATGTTGTGAGGATTTTTTAGGGTGTATACCTGAGTGAAATTGCTGGGTCATGACACATGCTGAGCAGAATGGCTGCAGAAGCTTTTCATCTCCTTTCTGTGTTTGGCAGCAGTGTAAACTCTACTAATTTTTTCTTGAAGGGTGGGAGAATTCATTATAAGACATATTTCATTCCTTTTAATGTGCACTTTGGCTTCTATTGAGTCCTTTCCTCTGAGCTGTTGCTTCTTTCTGAAGCACAAAGTTATTTTTTCTCTCTTTTCCATTTTACTGCTTATTGTTGAGGAAAAATGTTTACTGCATTTTCATTGCTAAGAATAGGTTAAAAAAATTTTTTTGTTAGTGTTCAAGCTGGCTTTACATTCTGAAGACCTATATATGCCTTTTTTTCAGTTCTGGAAAATCATAAACCATTATCTTTTTGAATGTTGAGTATCAGTTGAAACAGCTCGAAGACTTCTCTATCATAAGTATTCCTTTTTAAAAGAAATTTATTTATTTGGCAGAGAGAGAAAGCACAAGCAGGGGGAGCTACAGAGGGAGAGGGAGAAGCAGGCTCCCCACTGAGGAGTTGCTGGATACGGGGCTCGATCTCAGAAACCTGAGATCATGACCCAAGCTAAAGGCAGGTGATTTAATCAACTGAGCCACCCAGGCACCCCGTAATTATTCCTTCTTATTTTTCATCTGTCTTTTTTTGCCCCATTGTTGTGGATGAAACAGTCCTAGCTTCCACTTCACTAATTATGTCTGACTTTTCCAATCTAGGATTTATTTCTCTCTCTCTTTTTTTTTTTTCATTCTTCTTGTACACTTCAGGACCTGCTCCTGTTTACATACTTTTTAGCAATATTAATTCAGAGATTTCCTCCTGCATATGTTATCTTGGTGGATGATAGTCTTGGCTCTAGATTTCCCTCCCTTTCCTTCCTTGTGTTGAAGCCTCTCTTACCTGGGATTAGACACTGTTGTGATTCCTGCTGCCAGGCCTAGTAACAAATTATGTGGCATCCTCTCACCTGGCTAGTCCTCTTGTAACATCTGGAGCACTTAAGGTGTTTCTGCCTTCTCCAGCTTGGGGCTTCTCTCTGTGGTTTTCTGACTATTCTATCATATCTCAGATATTCTGGTTAGTTTCTAATCCACTGAGTTTTCTCATTCATGTATTTAACAACAGCTTTTAAAAATCATTCAGTTGATCTACCCTTTTTGTGTATCTTTTTTTTTTAAGATAAATCTTTTCTGAACTTCAGTGAGATTATAGGAGGGAAGCAAGTAGTCTACCATTTTGATCCATCTGTGAATGAGTCCATTGTGGATATGAAGACTGTTAAACAGTGGGTGGAGGAGGGTCTCACAAAGGCATGTAAATGCAACACTGCTGGCCTGCTCCTCACAAATTGTTATTTCTTCTTCCTTTATGTGAATTCTTCTTCTTTCTGAAGTTCTTTCTTCAAATATGCTCCCTATGCTTGTATAGGTGCTCCATGATGTGAATTTGAATTTATCTTTTTCTTCTAGTGCTATATTAAATGAGAATATGCCTTTCCCTGAAGATTCTCTTGCTGTGATGCATACCACACCTGCAATAAATGGTTCTGTTCTTAAGGTAACAACACTTAATTTTGAAAGTTTCTCCAAAGACCATACTGAGTTGAGTCCTGTGGTATAATCACAGACATCTGGTGATTTCTGACTGACACCAGAACTTAAGCTGTGAGAAAAGCATTGAGCCTCAGTTTTCTAGAGAGAATCCTATTGTCAAATCTCTCATGAGAGTATCTCAGGGCTGCTTCTTCAGTTTTTCTGTCATTGGTCTTTTTGTTTTAGCTAGTCTTTGTATTTTGTTTTTTTGATGCTGGCTATGCCTCCCTAGTGTCTCAAACAGTAGACAGCACATAGTAGGCACTAAATATTGATTGCTTGAAATACCAGCACCCTGTCATTGTGTTACAGTATAACCAGCTCGTCGTCGCAGTCCCTGCTTTTCTGTACCTTGTCACACCCTTACCAGTCCAGAAATCATAGAAACCCAGTACATTGCTCATTGTTTTTTTTTAATGTATTTTTTTAAATTTTTATTTATTTATGATAGTCACAGAGAGAGAGATAGAGAGGCAGAGACATAGGCAGAGGGAGAAGCAGGCTCCATGCACCGGGAGCCCCATGTGGGATTCAATCCCGGGTCTCCAGGATCGTGCCCTGGGCCAAAGGCAGGCACCAAACCGCTGCACCACCCAGGGATCCCCTGATTGTTTTAATTTACAAGTTAAATGAAAAATTATCCTTGCAAATGAACATTTACCATTTTGCTCTTTACATAAATGCATTTATTGTAGAAATTCGCCAAATATTTCATGAGAAGAAAAAGTTAGGAATCACCTGTATTCCCGCTATTGAAAGACCATGTATAATTAAGATTTGGTGTATAATTTTTCAGACTTTTGGGTTTAAAAAAATCCAACCTAAAATATCTCCAATCAGGAGCTTCCTTTCTGCTAATTAAAATTCTAAAAAGAGATATTGATGATCTTTGATCATTAAAAATTAAGTGAAACTGAGATTTTTTTGGAACAGAGGTCATTTAATTCAGAGATTTATTGCATATTATAATATGTACTGGACACCATGGTAGTTTCAAAAATTCAAAAGTTAAACATAGCCTCTTTTTTCAAACTGCTTACATTCCACTGGGAGAGAGAATTTTAATACCTGTGGTAGTGACACATACACAGTTTGGGGGCCCTCAGGCCACAAGAGTGGGAGACGGTGGCGTGAGAGGAAGAGATGTGAGCAGTGAGAAAACAATTTTTTCCTACATGTGATTACATTAAGTTGAATCACATTAAGTTGAATGTTGAGACATAAATAGGAGAATGACCACAGCCTTAAGCCAGATAGATGGAAATAGGATTGTATAAATGAAGGGCCTTTTTTATTATGTGGACTACATCCTAGAAACTTATTTTATTTCCAGACCAGAGTTTTCTATTTTATTCTCTTTAAATTTTTCTGCCTACTTACTTTCTCTATCTCTTTGTCTTTTTCTCTCTCTTTTCTCTGTAGTATAGAGCTCCATCATTCATTAGGTGATTCAAATACTAATTAAAAAGTATGAACATTTATGGGGAAGCTCCTACTGTACTCTCTTTCAAACAGTGAAGTACCAGTACATCTGGATAAAGAAGTCTTTGGAATTTAGGCATCATCTTTACTCACTCTCTCCCGTCCTGAACCTTTTATCTCTTTCTTTTAGTCTAAGAGCTAAGAGCCAAAAAAATGTTAACCCTATGCAAGTTTTGTCTCCCCAAAAAGAGTAGCTTAATGAAAATTCACATAAAATTTTTTTTAAGGTTTTATTTATTTATTTGAGAGAGAGAGCATGAGTTAGGGCAAAGGGGCAGAGGGAGAAGTAGACTCCCCAATGAGCAGGAAGGCCAGTGCAGGGCTTGATTCCAGAACTGGGAAATCATGACCTGAGCCAAAGGTAGGTGCTTAACCAACTGAGCCACCCAGATGCTCCCACATTAAAACTTTAGCTTTTTCAACTTTTTCAACTTCTGATTCTAATCTAGGTTCCCCTCCAAGCAAAATGGAATCAATATAATAAACCATGATTTCTGAGTGTCCCTATTTGTTTAAAGGTTAACACCAAACAAAGGCTGGGTCAGAATTGTAAGTTGAGAGGATATGGAAAAGATGTAGTTTGATGATTAGTCATTCAACAGCTATATATATTTTATTGTTCATAGGATGCTACAGATGAATTGGATGCATTACTTTTATCTCTAACTGAGAATCTGATGGACCACACAGTCACACCTCAGGTAAGTATGTTTTGAACAGCAAGGTGGAAAGGAATTTCTGTTTTGAAAAAACATTCTGCTACATTCCAATTTTTGCCTTTTTAACCATGTAGTTAAACTGTTCATTTAATAAGAGATTGTATCTCAGCAACCACTTAGCTTACCTTTCTACTAAAATTTCACCAGTTTAAATTTATGTGTCACTGTAAAGTAACCACATTTTACTACATGCCTATTTGTAATCTCAACACTATATTAAATAACATGAGAGGAAATATGTAGGGATAAACATAAAGAGTTAAAACAACAAGGACATACAACATACGAATGGTTAGCAATGAACATATCAATCTTTATTGCAGTATAGGAGATACTGTGTTGGGTACTATGATCAAATTATAATACAAAAAAGAAACAATTCTTTCCCTACAAGACTTACTATGTAGTTGAGATGAAAGGTATGCAAATAACTCATTCAGTATGTTATGAGTAATATGATAAGAATTGCTATGGGAACTAGATGTCATTCTGAAGGTTTAGAAGTACAGATGGTCCTTTTCTCTGGAGCTGGATGTTTGCTTAGATCCTTAGTTCTTATATTTGGGTGTGTATCAGAATCACCTGGAGGGTGTATTAAAACATAAATTGCAGGGCTCCACCCTCAGAGTTTCTGATTTGGTGTGTGGGGATTAGGACCTGCAAAGTCACATTTCTAGCATGTTCCAGGTAATGCAGATGTGGTCTGGGAACCACCCTTTGGGAACCACCAGCTTAGATCAATAAACAGAGACTCTACCAAAGAATAAGAATTAGTCACAAGTCTAGAGAAGTGAGCAAGCAGAAGACAAAGGGATAATGTCAGTGCTGAGCCATGATGATCCTTTATGAGAACAAAGAAGTAACTTGAAAGATTAATGCAAGATGGCCTAAAACGAGAACAGGACCCCCTGGGGCCGAGCTCAGGATCATATTCTGTGTGCTCTCTCACAAGTGGATTCGGTGATGAAAATCAAATTTATTAAACAACTTTATGTCACTGATGTTTTCCCTTCCCTGCAAATTTAGAATGCTTTTTTTGTTTTAAATCAAAATTTAGAATATCATGCATTTTAGAGTCTACAAATGGGCTCCCTGTTCTGTTACACTGGCAGATTTTTATGTTATTAGAACTGTAACACTCTTCTAAGAACTTTAGCTTTTTAATTGATTTTGATCCAGAATATGGCCAGACAAGCATCATTATGTAGCTGTTTTGTTACTCTACTGGTGAATTGTTTCAGAAGATTTTTAGAATGACTTTTTCTAGTTCCACCCCTCCAAATTCCTTTGGATTTTTATTCGTAAATACATTAAATTCATAAGTAAATTAACTGATATATTTATGATAATTTGTGTTCTTAGCTAAGAATATATTTTTCTCACTCAAGACTTCTTGTATCTCTTATTAAACTTTTTCATTATAGTTCCCCCAACATATGTTCTGTCCTTTCTATTTTTATTATTTTTAGATCCTTCCTGCTTTTCATTGCTATTGTTAATGAGATCTTTTTTTTTCTGTTATATTCTAAACTGGCTTTAAGAAGGCTATTGTATTCTGAAAAAAATTCAACAAACCTTTCATCAATTAAAATAGTACAGCTGGGATCCCTGGGTGGCTCAGCTGTTTGGCGCCTGCCTTTGGCCCAGGGCGCAATCCCCGAGTCTTGGGATCGAGTCCCGCATTGGGCTCCTGGCATGGAGACTGCTTCTCCCTCTGCCTGTGTCTCTGCCTCTCTCTCTCTCTGTCTATCATGAATAAATAAATAAAATCTTAAAAAAATAATAAAACAGTAAAGCTGTAAAAAAAATGTATATTTAAATAAAGTATGCATTTTCTTGAGGGAAGGACTTTTTTTTATCATATTTTTATGTTTATCTCCGTTACAGTTACCATTCTGAAGAAGTGTCCAAATGATAAAGTTCCATCTTCCCTGAGAGGAACAAAGAGAGAACCTAAAATCTGTAGCAGAAATATATATTACTAAGGCTAGGAAGAAGTTGTGGAAAGCACTAAGATTCCTATCAGTTTGGGAATTGGTAAATATGTAAAATAAACTTGTGACAAGAAGATATCTCTAAGACCAATAGGATAGTATCCATTTTTTTTTAAGTCAGATGCGCAAATTAATTATACCTCATAGTCCATGGCAGACTATCTTCCTAGGTCCATGCAAGGCTTCTCTTTTGCTTATCTTATTTTCCTTTGTCCTCCATTCCTCACTTCCATTTGCCATTTTTGCTAAGGTACTCATTCTAAAGTATTTGCTATATGTCCTTCCAGGCACCTTTCACATATTTATTTAGATAAACATCTGTGAAAAACAGTATGAAGTTTCCTCAAAAAATTAAAAGTGGAATTACTATCTGATCCAGTAATTCCATTAAAGAAAACGAAAACACTAATTCAAAAAGACCTATGCATCCCTATGTTTATTGCAGCATTATTCATAATAGCCAAGAAATGGAAGGACTCAAATATCTATTGATAGATGAATGGATAAAGAAAATGTGGGCTGTTTGTGTGTAATGGAATTAATATTAATATTAATTAGCTATAAAAAAGAATGAGATCTTCCCATTTGCAATAACATGGATGGAGCTAGAGGGTATAATGTTAAATGAAATAACGCAGACAGAAAAAGACAAATACCATGATTTCTCTCATGTGGAATTTAAGAAACAAAAAAGAACAAGGGAAATAAAGAGACAAACAATAAAACAGACCTAAATACAGAGAACAAACTGGTGATCACCAGAGGGGAGTTGGGTGGGTGGATTGATGAAATAAATGAAGAGGGTAAGGAGTATACTTATCATGACACACACCTGAGAAACATAGAATTGTTGACTCGTACAATTGAAACTAATATAACGTTGAAAAAAAGTCTTCATATTTCTTTTAAGGTAGAGAGTTGGTTAGATACCCACAAATGGGATTGCTGGATTGCATGCTTATATGAATACTAGGTATTGCTCACTGCCTCCAGAATGGTTTCCACAGTTTATAAGTCCTATGAGCAGTTTTTCCTTAACCTGCGCTTTATCTGACTTTCTAATATTTTTTTGTCTTTATGGGTTTGTCTCATTGTTTCAGTTCACGTGAGTTAAATGGTATTATTTCTTCCATTATTTTAATGCTGCCTTAGGTTTCTTCTTTTATTGAGTCAGCTGTATGTATCTTTTACTCATTTTTCTATCAGGTTTCCTGCCTTTTTTCTTGATTTCAGGAATTCCTTGTATAGTCTAGATATGAATTCCATGTCAGGTTAGGTATTAAAAATACTTTCTGCTAATCTGTATTTTAGCACATCTGAGGCATTTTTATGACTGTCATTTGTGACAAGTAGCAAGGACATTGAGACAACCTATGTCTGTCACTGTGGAGGTGGATGAGTAAAACAGGTGTATATCTTTCACTGAACAGAAACCTATTCTGATGTCAGGCATTCTTCATTTTTTCTTGTTGTAGTTGGGGTTTAGGGTTTGAAAAAAATCCTTCCTCATCTGCCATCCCATCTCCTGAGGTCATAGAGATACTGTTTTCTGTTGATTTCTATTAGCTTTAATTTTATTTTACCTTTCACCTTTAGATTTTAACAAATTTGAACAGTTTGAGGTTTGGCGGGGAGGATGTCAGTTGTCGTTTTAATATAACTCAAATTTGTATTTATCCATAAAAAAATCCAATTTTACCAATATTCTAAAGAACTCATCCTTTCCCAGTTGATGTGTTACTAATCTTTCTGTTGTGTTCCAGTGGTGGGCTCTCTCTTTTTCTGCTGTCCTGCTATTGTGTTTATTACCTTGGCTTTGTACTGATACCTAGTATATTCTTACTTAAAATTTCAGCATGTCAGGTTTCCCCCAAAATTCTGCTGGCATTTTAATGGAGTTTATATTAAATTTATAGATTATTTTGGAGAAAATTAGCATTTTTATGATATTTAATTTTCATCAATATGATACATGTTTCTATTTTTTCTCATCTAAATGTTCTCTGTAAGTCTTAGATTGTTAGGCTAAATCCTAAATACTTTATAGTTTTGTTATAGTTTTGTTGATATCATGAATGGTATTTAATTTTTTACTGTTGAACTCATAAGTTGATTTTGTGTCTAGCATACTTGCTGAATTCTTTCATTAATCAATCTGCTGATTCTCTTTAATATTCTGTCAATTTCTAGGGTGTGTTTTATATCTGTCTACAATTGATTAATTCAGTTCTCATCTATTGCTAAATCTGTCATTTTGTATATTTTGAAGATATGCTGTGAGATGCATATATATTAATGGTAATTATACTTTCTGTAACTCCTTTGAGTACTTTAAAGTATCCATCCTTACCTCTTTTTTCTCTCTTAATTTCCCTTTTGGCTCCTATAAAATTGACACCATAACTTTCTTTTAAGTTTATATTGCCTGGTATATAATTTCCTGTCCTTTTATTTCCAGCCTTTTTGTATCTGTTGGCTATAAGTGGACCTTTTGTGAACAACAGTTTGCTGGATCTTGTTTTTTAAATCTTCTTTGAGGATCTCCTCTGATTGAGTTTAATCCATTTATATTTACTCTAATTATGGTTATTATAGGACTTATTTCTGCCAAAACATTTTTTAATTACCTTTACCGCATATTCTTTCTCTCTCTGTCTCGTATTTCCTATGGTAAAAGTGCATTTTTTTAATATTGGTGGGAAAGTCATGTTGTATTTTTATTCTTCTGGTGCTTTCCTAACTTATTAATGAGACATGGACTTATGTAAATTTTTTCTTATCAGAATCTGAAACCATGAGTCTAAGGACAGACTAGTCTAAGTTTCTATAAAATAGGAGGAGTTCTTTAGCGTATAATTCTATACATAGAAGTAAAATCTAGAAAATTAAACATTAAAAAGAATGTAACAAAGCCCCTATGTATCAGGAACAATGTGAGTGTTTTTATATGCATGCATGAAATTAGAGAATGACCTAAACAGATTTTTTTTTTCCTCTGTACTTTCTTTGTGCTGTTCATTTGGATTAGTCACAGTCCACTTTCAAGATGCTACCAAGAAGGCTAAAATGTTAAACTGGATGCTGGGGTTGGAAGGTAGAGGAGTCCTATTATTAAGGAACTGAAAATAGTAGGAGCATTCTTAGAGTAGAACATTTTTAAATTAAAGAGATTCTCGGGATCTCTGGGTGGCTCAGTGGTTTAGCACCTGCCTTCGTCCCAGGGCCTGATCCTGGTGTCCTGAGATTGAGTCCCACATCAGGCTCCCTGCATGGAGCCTGCTTCTCCCTCTGCCTGTGTATCTGCCTCTCTCTCTGTCTGTGTCTCTCATGCATAAATAAATAAAATCTTTTTAAAAAAAGAGATTCTCAGAATTATGATAGTTTCTTAAGTGGTGAGTATGGCATCTGTTTTGTAGAAAAGGATCTTGGGTTCAAAGTGCATGTCAGCGCAGGGGGAGCCATTGAGGACTGTCTCCCTCTATGATGCATTCCATAGTAGAAGAAAACATTATGAGAATGGTTATGAAAAGAAGTCTTCTCTAAAAGTAAACACATATATAAAATTTATTTTAGGTATCTTCAACATCCATGATCACACCACGGTGGATTGTACCAGTAAGTTAATGATATTTACAATTTTTATTTTGGTTACCCTTTCAGAGTAAGGCCTAAAGGATTACCAGGCTCTTGTTTTTACTTAAAAATGTGAGGTCATTCTCAAAGCCTTGTTATCTGAACTTAATGTCTTCAAACTAGTGATTTACCTTTCCTGTTTGTAAAGGCTTAAGGATGCTGACAAAAACAAAACTAAAAACCTGAGGTGAAGTATGGTGAAAAACAAACCAAAATAGCCATGACCATCAAAATCCTCTTACTTACTACCGTAATCATTAGGGAAGATGGCTTGGAGCTGAACTGCTGATGCTCAGGCCTCTGTTATCACTTCTGTTCAGACATGGTATTTGTCTCCCTCAGCAGAGTGGTGTCCTTTCCAATGGACTGGAAGGACTGTGCTTGGCAGAGAAGGAGGAACATGGTAACAGAGAAGTAGTCTCGCTGATTTCTCCCCCAGGACCATTCTTGGTGGATGCTGTGACCAGGTGAGGAAATTCTTTCTCCATTGCAGTTCTAAGGCATCTGTTCAGAAGAAAATATACTTACAGCAGTAATGTCAGTTCTTCTTTAACTGAATTTAACTGAAACTGGGTAAATTTTTTCTCTATTATTTAGAATAATGTTTTTTTGTTTTCCTGTCAGTAACAATTTTCTACAAAATTATAAAGTAGCCCCTTTTTTAAATCAAGTCTTCATAAATGTTAACTTTTTAACAGACTTATCTTTAAAATTTTTATTTGTTTTAAAATTCATTTATGCCTTTCCTTTCATGCTTTTATGTCTTTCCTTTCATGCTTTATGTCATGTTGTCCATCCATAATAAGGTGAAGAATCATAGATAAGAGTGAAGTAGGAGATTCCCAAGATGAGGGCTCTGAGACACCTTTTACCAACACCTGTTACGAGTTCATTTCAACATATTGCTTGCCACAAACAGAAGCTGGACTCAGAAACTCAAAAGACCTTTTGTTTGGCATGTAGTTCTTCAACTCTTCATTGTTAGGACCAAAACTGTGCCTGTTTTACAAAAGATGTACAGTTGCCTTCATTATCACCTCAGACTTCTTCCTGGTGATGTCTGTTTCTCACATCCTCCTGGTGTTGAGAGTATAGGTCAGTTGAAGTAGATGCTTTCCTAGTTAGAGAAGAAATTTCCTAATTAGTTGGAAAAGTTATTAAAGCCGATTAACTCGAAAGAAACTGATAGTTTCATTTTAAAGTTCCAATCTCCACAGTCTTCAAAGTAATATAATCACTTAGCAAACATTTATTGAATGTCTGTAATGTACCAAGCATTGATTTTACTGATTTGGCAGCACTGAAGATAGTAGTGAACAAAACAGGCGTGGGACTTGCCATAGAGAACTCACATGTAGTTGTCAAATAGCACCCTGTAGGTTATTTTTCTAACTATTTATATTTCTAGTAATTGCCACTGTAAAAAAAGAGATTATGTGCAGAGGACCAGGTGATAATGCTTTGTAATTGAGTTTACACAATGAAATATGAGTTCTTAGGACTTGTAAATTAAAAATTATTGATGAAAGAAGAGATCATCTACATTCCTTCCCGAAACAAAATAGTCATAGAGAAATTAAAGAGATCAAAGAGGACAGGTAGTGTACCTGAAATTAATAAAATGTTAAATATCAATCATACCTAAAAATAAAACAAAAAAAAACAATAAAAGGATCAGTGGAACAGAATAGGGTCTAGAAACAAACTCACACAAATAAAGCTACTTGATTTGTGAAGAAAAGGATGATGGAGTGCTTGTGAATAGATAGCCTTTGAGTAAATCAGCTGAACAAAAAAAATTTTTTAAGATTATTTATTTATTTATTCATGAGAGACACACAGAGAGAGGCAGAGACACAAGGAGAGGGAGAAGCAAGCTCCATGCAGGGAGCCTGATGCGGGACCCGATCCCTGGTTCCAGGATCAGGCCCTGGGCTGAAGGTGGCGCTAAACCGCTGAGCCACCTGTGCTCCCCATCAGCTAAACAAATTAAATAAATATCCATGTGGGAAAAGATTAATCTTGACCTAACCTCGGACCATACACAAAAATCCATTCTAGATGGGTTGCAGATCTAAATGTGAAACTTCAAATAACAAAGCTTTTAGAAGAAAATATAAGCAAACATTCTGGAGATCAGGAAAGATTTTTTTTTAAAACAGGTCACAAAAAGCTTCTATCACAGGAAAAAAATATATATATATACATATATGTGTGTGTGTGTGTGTGTGTGTGTGTGTATATATATATATATATATATATATATATATATATATAAAACTTGGCTTCTGTCAAGAACTTCTGTTCATCAAAAGAAATAATCTCAAGATCTCTAGAAAGGAAACCAGAGAGTGAGAGAAAATACTTGTACTTCTTCCCTCTCTTTCTTTGATAAGGACTCATATCTAGAATATATAAAGAGCTCTTATAAATCTGTAAGAAAAAGACAGCTAAATAGAAAAATTGGTAAGACTCGAAAAGGCAGGGGTGGCACCTGGGTTGCTCAATGGTTGAGTGTCTGCCTTTGGCTCAGGTCATGATCCTGGGGTCCTGGAATCAAGTCCCACATCAGGTTCCCCGCGAGGAGCCAGCTTCTCCCTCTGCCTATGTTTCTGTCTCTCTGTCTGCATCTCTCATGAATAAATAAATAAAATCTTAAAAAAAAACAACAACAACGTGGAAAGGCAGTTCACAAGAAGACATCCAGATGGTCTGTAAGCATATGAAACAATGTGCAACTTAACTAGTCATTGAGGAATACAAATTCAAACCACCACGTGGTGACCACTATATACTCCCAGAATGGCTGAAGTGGAAAAGACACATAGTATCAAGTGTTGGTAAAGATACAGGGCAACTGGAACTCTATAAATTGGAATAACCATGCTGGAAATAGGTTTGGCAGTATCTCCTAAAGTTGAACATACCCAGTGACTCCGTGATTTTATTATATACATACCAAGTAGAAATACAAATAATTGTCTATCAGAGGACATGTAAAAGAATGTTTATAGCAGGTATATTCATAATAGTCCAAGCTGAAAACTTTCCAAAATCTCATTAATAGTCAACTACATAAATAGCAGTACAGATGAATCGTGTAAATGTAATTACGTTACAATAGTTTGCTATGTAATATATTTAGCACACATTTATAATCTCATTTTCTGTGGCTATAAAGTCTGGATACAGTTTTGCTGGGTCCTGCAACTACCACAAGCCCATTAGTTAGTGAATTTTGCCCATATATACAGTTTCCAAATGGCATTCTAGTCTGTCTTTCACTTTTAAGTATGAATAAGTGCTTCCCACATAAGTGTGAAGAGAGCCAAAGATTTTCAGATGTTTGAGGAAATACTGAAATAGGTAAACTGAAAAAGAAATAGGGAGGAAAGAAGGGAACATGAGCATCAAAAACTTCACAAAATGATAATTTCATGAGAGGAGATGCTGCATCTATGCAACACTAACAGGAAGTGTAAAAGAAAGGAAACAGAAAATGCAGTGTTCTTAGAAATTATTAACCATGTTAAAAATAAAACCCAAAGAATGGGTGGAAGATTGAGGAAATCTCTCAAAAAGTAGAACAAAAAGATGAAAACTGAGATAGAAGAGATCATTGGAGGATTGGTCCAGGTAGTCCAATATATCAATCATCAGAGATCTAGAAAGAACAGAGTAAATAAAAAATTGTTAAAGGAATTTAGATTTCTCAGAACAGAAGTACTTCAGTATTTCCTTTTAACACTTTGAGTGAAAGAGAGAGAATGATCGGGGGAAGGGCAGAGGGAGAGGAAGAAGCAGACTCTCTGCTGAGCAGAGAGCCCAGGACCCTGCTGAGATCATGACCTATGCCCAAGTCAGATGCTTAACCCACTGAGCCACCCAGGTGCCAGAAGTATTTGAGTTTTTAGATTAAATGGGCCTGAGTACCCAGCAAGGAAAGTAGACAACACTAAGGACCATCATGAAATTTCAGAAAGAGAGAGTGTAAGTCTTCAGAGAGAGGATAAAAAGAATACATGAAAGGACTGATAATCAGAATGACAGACTTCACTGAAAGAAAGAAGATAATAGAGCAATGCCTTCAGAATTCTGGAGTAAAATTATTTTTCCCCTAGTTTTTTTAAGATTTTATTTATTTATTTATTTATTCATGAGAGACACACAGAGACACAGGTGATCATCCAAGAAGGAGGAAGACACAGGACCCAGGAAACAGGTGCAGGAACTGACTGGGAGAAAGGTGGAAAAAAGTCCTGAGGCAGCAGCTGCCTTGTTGTTTAGGAACAATTCTGTACAGATTTGAAGAGGGGAATATAAAGTTCCAGGAAGGATATTGCCAAGAAAAAACACAAACACATGGCCTACCCCAGTTTTTAAAAAATTACATGACATAACTGAATGTACTTGGAAAGATCCATGGTTCTATCTGCAAACTTAAGTACAAATTAGAAATAAGTACAGAAAATGAAACAAACAGTCTCAACAAAAAAATGAAGCAGTTCTTCAGTCCAGGAGGAACAAATTATATAAGAAAAAATGTAATACACTTATATCAGTTGTGAAAATATTTACATAGTTACAACAAACCCTAAATATTAATATGATGAAAATTGTTTAGCTGTATTGAAAAGGTAGGAAGGAAAGATTGGGGGACTGATGAGTGGGCTCTAAGAATGGTAGTCCATGGCAAGAAGTTGTAGAAACAGGCCACTTGGACTTTTGCTAGTTGTGCATCACAATCACCTGGAGGGCTTATTAAAACAGCTTAGGAGAGCCTGGATGGTGTAGTTGGTTGAGCATCCTGACTCTTGGTTTCAGCTTAGGTTGTGATCTCAGAGTCATAAGACCAAGGCCTGTGTTGGGCTCCACGCTCAGTGCCCAGTGCAGTCTGCTTGAGATTCTCTCTCCCCCTCCCTCTACCTCTGCCCTCTCCACTCATGCTCTCTTTTTCTTTCTAAAGTAAATAAATAAATCATTAAAACAAACTGGGCCTCCTGTAAAGTGCCTAAGAATTTGCACCTATAACAAATTCCAGGGACTGTACTTAGAGAACCAGAGATACAGAAAAGTGAAGGAAAATGCCAGGAAAAAAATATTGAAAGCGTTTTGTCTCTGTATAGTAGAAATGGAGGGGGCTGGTACACATGACTGCTGTTTCAACAGTCAAGCTTGTTAGTATTTTCGACATGTTAAACTATATCCTTTGTAGTATATATTTTGACTGTTAAGTTTTAATGAAACCAAGGTAGATGACGTGACGTCCTTGCCTCAGTTCATGCTCTTCAGCTATGGCAGAGACTTTCAGGTGCTCATGCAAAGCCCACATTGTTTTTTTTTTTTCACATTAACTCTGACAGAGCAGATTAACTGGTGTGGGAACTCCCACAGCCATCTTGGGACTGTCTATGTAAAGTACAGAAGTATGTACCCACTTAACCTTGGTATTTCTTGAGCAAGTTTGCTGTCATGCTCTGTACAGTACTGTTCTTGCTATTCATAATAATAAGCCTGAATCATTAAGAAATGATTAAGTGTTTGGTATGTTTTATTCAGGGAAGTAGGGGAAATTGGTATCTTTAGATTTCAAGGTGACATATGCATCAGTTACCTAGAAAATTCCCTTCTGTAAATATATCATTGCTAAATTAGGTGTTGCAACATAGTCATTTAGGTCAGTGATTTGCTTTCAGTCTGCTCTGTGTAGCACTGGTAGAGAAATGCATGGTGCTCCCACCCCAGTGGTTTCACGGAATAATAATCCCTCCTTTCTTTTTTCAGCTCTGTTCCAACTTTGGCAGGAGAAACTGTCTTGAAGCAGAAGTGTTTACTGACAACTGAGCTCTGAGGGATTGGCTCCTTCTCACCTATAACTGGAATGCCCAGCGCTCTGCAGCTGTCCTTCCTGAATCCATTTCTGCTGGAATTTGTCAGATTCAGGAGCTTGTCCTTAGTTATGAGTAAAAAAACTCACCTAGATTTGACTTCAACTCAATGAAAAACATTTTCCGTCCAACTGGAAGGGTTTAATTACACTATATATTTGCCTAAATGAGGGTATCTGGTCTTTTACTTTCTGTAATTGTATTGAAGTTGTAAATTCCTGACACGGAATTATTTCCATGTGGTTTCCTTCAAACTCTTGTCTCCATCTAGTGGTTATAATTGTTCATAACCACCCCATAAGCAGGCCATCTCTGGTAGTCAGTAATAGCCTTAGGGTGAGTGTGCTTGATCTGAACACTTGTTAGAGAAGTTGCCCTTATCCATGCAATACTTGGAAATCAGAAGTTTAGGAAGTTAATGAGGATATCACATAGGTAGGTTGAGGCCTAATTGTTTACAATTATTACAGTACTAAAGAAAAGTTTAGAATACAGAAGATTTTCAAGTGTCTCATACTTTTGACTTCTTACTACTGGCTATCTTAATACTCCTAAGTTGACCTCAAGGTAAGCTAAGCCTTGAAAAGAATATAGAGAAATCAATTGCACCTATCTTGTATCCTATTTTTTTCAGCCCTGCTTCCCCATAGGAAGCCCTCACATGCACCACACACATACTCTGTAACTTTTCAGACCAGACAGAGACAGCAGTGACTTCTCCACACTGGCACCAGTTTGGATATAGGCTCCGTTTCCTTTCAATATGAGCTGAATAAGTTTAGAACTTGTAAACTAAAGGAAACAAAACAAAATGAAAATACCAGGACAGAAAGAGGGAATCGGAGGTGGGGGGTTTGTTTCTTGAACATCTACCACATCTGAAACTGTACTTAGCATACTGTAAGAACCTCGTATCTTACCTATGTTAGGCATTTTGTGCTAATTTTAAAAAGTCTCTAGAAGTTCCTTATCACTTCTGGTACAAAAAAAAAAAATTCTGGATGTTAAAGTAGCACATTTGCATATAGAAAATGAAGACTGTAAAAATAACCACTTGCAATCCTGATATCCAGAAAAACATTCTTATTTTAGCTTTAAAACTTCAGAATGCAGAAGGTAAACTACAATTGCTACTGGAAATGAGAATGAGGTGGAGACCATGTTGGCATCGTTGTTAATCCCAGTGATCAAAGATTGATGTCAAACTATACCTCCTGGGAGTTGATGTTTAGTTTTCTGCCCTGTATTATGTATATAATTGGGTGTTAATTTATATTGCTCAGCACAAGAGAATATCCAGCTTTGTGATCTTTAAAACATCATGGTTTGGACTGTCCTGGGTTCCCTATAGCATAATCATTTGCTCAGGCAAACACACACACTAGTGTCTGATTGGAAAGCTCAGGAATTTTAATCCCTGTTTCCCAGGGAGCTGTAGAGTTTGGAAACCACTTTTGCACAGAACAACTTCGCTAAAGGAAAGAAAGTTGGCACTTCTTGCTGGCTGCCTCCCCTTAGCCATTATGCTGAGCTTGTGAATTTCATTGGCAGAGCTTTTGCCAATTCTTAATTGTAAAACAAATTTTCTTGAAGCTGTAAGTGATACCTACACTTGACCAGGGGCCTGACTCGAAGCACGCTGGACTGACTAGACATCAAATTTTCAGTGTGCTGACAATGCTGGATGTACTGAAAGGTTAAAGTTGTGCATCTAACCACAAAGCAGCTAAGGCATTACTGCTAGCTTGGAAGACCTAAACGTCTTATCCTGTTTAGGAGGTAGCACCATACTTATTTTAAACTTTTTAAAATTTAAGAATAAGTTGTTGAAAATACTCCATAGCCTCTGTGTCTTTAGGTACCTATTATTCTTACTAGTTAGCATATTGATAAGTACTTTCTTAAAATTTACTTAAATCTCAGTCTAAAAGGGGGAAATTTTGTCTTTTGGCCTGACACAAAGTAGTAAATATGGAGATTAATACTTTAATGATGAATTAGCCCTGACAGTTCAGATACCTGTCAAGTATAACTTCCCTGTCACTACTGCTGCTGATGCCTTCCCCAGAGTTGCTGTAACACTGATCTTGTTCCTGCTTTTCTGAGGGGAGAGAATGGCGGGGCTGTGGGGCTCAGGAAATCTGAATGTGTCCGAGAGGGAAGGGAAAAGTCTGTTTCTGTGATGAGAGAATATATATATATATATATATATATATATATATATATATATATATGAATCTGTAAAGAATATGAGCAGGGTGAGATTTGAGATAATATTGGAAAAGAGGGCAGGTTGATTACCTTGAAGTGGAAAGAGGGACAGCTCTGTTGGCCCTACCCTGGGGGGCCTTCAGGGCATAGTCCTCCCCTACACATCCGAATCATCTGATAAACTCACTAAAGCTCTGACCCACAGATGAGATGAAATAGCCCTACTGGCTGTTCAAAATGACAGCTAGTTGGGCAGGAAGTTTTTTTTCTATCTAGAATGAGGTTCCCAGGCACCTTAGTAAGTGTAGCTAAAAAGAAATATTGACAACGTTTAAGTCAGAAGTAATGAGAACGTTTGCAAAGAGAGGAAGAACAATAGCTTATTTGAGGGCTCCAGCTAAGAAGCTGTGAGCATTCTTCTGTTTCAAAGTATCTGGAGGTGATTTATAGCTGAGATAACAGACCGGGATTGGCAACAAATAACAGAAGGCTGTTAGCCACAAGCTTAGCTAGTCTGTGGTTACTTTCTTCCCATATTTTCCAGTACCAGATTTGACTATAGTAACTCATTAGGGTCAGCGATAATGGAACTTGTGACTGGGAGCAGATTTAGGCTGGCGCTGAGAGAGTGGCAGGGCTTCTTTTGTTGTTTTGCCACATCTCATGGGTCTGTGGGAGCTTGCAAGGAGTGGATTGTTGCTGCTGCCCGTCTCCTGGCTTACTGAGTGCTCCGTCCCAGTAACGCTTAGTACAGTGTCATGCAGTAGGCATCTGTGGCAGGCCTTGGGAGAGCAGAAAGGAGAGGAACCTGAAATCAGGCCATTTGACAGCACTGGTAGGGAAAAGGAGAGTTGGCATGGAGGTTTAAAATAAGATTTTTAGGTTTCAGCTTTCTGCCCTCAACTCTTCTTCTGAACTTGTAAAATAATAAATGAGATCCTATTTCTTACTATTGTCAGTAGTATCACCTTTGTATACACTGGAAGGGCTCATGGTTCTTTCATGCCTGCCCTTCAAGAAACACTGCTGAACAAAGGAATGATTAGATTCCTTTGGTCTTGATAAGTTTAGACATACCTTTAACAGCTTTCCTAAAATGTTTATATTGTTTTAAGAAAAATTCTATTTAAAAATATTTCTTACAGCCTACTGTTTGCACCTGTATCTGCTTTTGCACAATCACAGATGATTTGTGGACAATTAAGGATGAAAGCCCTGGGTTGTTCCTTGCATCTTGACTGCTGGTTCTCTAATGCTTCCCAATTCTGGCTAAAACTGGTGCCCCTGTCTTCTCTTATTATAAGCCTCAGAATGAAAACTCAGAGGAAATTCAAATTCAGAGACTTTGCTAGAACAGAATTATTTGGCAGTCAACTTACATAGAGAAAAATCTTCCATATTTTTCTATAAGTAAGGGTCTTGAGAAGCAAAGTTCTTGTCTTCTCATCTAGAGCAGAAATGAGCAGTTTCTCTGTGAGGAGCAGAGGTAGTTAATACTTCAGCACTCAGCTGTGCGGCTGTAGCACAAAAGCAGCACTGATGATAGTATGTGCATGGGCTGACTGTGCTCCACTGAAGTTTCATTTACAAAAACAGGTGCTGACTCCAGTTCCACACTTGGTGGCATGGCAGCATGTCTCCCTGGGAGTCACGCGAGTATTCCCCTAGGTTCTTCCGTAGCCTCTGTCTGGATGTTGACATCCTCATTTACACATGGATAGGGTGCAGTCCTGGGTCTCCCGCTCTGAGAGTCTTTTGTGAGGCCTCCCCAGTTTCTAACCAATCTTGCCTTCAGCCTTCCAGTTGCTTAGAAGCCTGGAATCTTCTGCAGATTGAAGAATGTACATTTCCATATTATGTCCTTTTTTCCTGTCAGAATTGTAAACTCTCTGACTTTACAATGATCAGAAGACAGCTGGAAGCTTTTCTTATCTATCAGCCTTCAGGATGAGGAAGTTTGTTTGGATTATAGAAATTTGTCCTGAGCCCAACTCTTCCTGTGTTAACATGTTGGCAGAGCAGTAATTATTTCCAGTTCTAAGATAGGATACAGGAGACTCTTTATCACATTGCTTGGGACAATAATTCAGTCACTTCCCAGGATTTCTCTTTATCAGGGAGGTGTTTTAGTACAGTTCCCTTGATCTTTTTATTTTCATGAGTAAATGTTCTTTTCTCATATGATAGTTCAAAGGACCTCACTAACTATTTGTGTTTACTTTTTATATGTGTAAAGCTTTGCAGTAACTCTTAGAGTGTAATTTATTTTTATATCAAGTGCACTATTTGTTGTGTTCCACAGTTTTATATGACTTGTATTAGAAGCACTGCATTGAACTGAGTTGTTTGTATACTGACATGAGAACCATAGATGTGACCACAAATAAAGCTTTTGTGAAACATTTATGTTCTTATGAGCTGTTTTCAGTTTATTGGAAGTGTAATACCTACATGCTGCCCGTTTTCTGTCCTCAAGGCAATGGTTTAGGTCAGAGCTGCTGTTGGAAGCCATGAACAGAAGCAACACCAGTTTTTAGTGTCCATTTTACTATGTATGGTACAAATTTGGGAGTAGAGGCATTTCCTTTTTTTTTTTTTTAAGATTTATTTATTTATGATAGACATAGAGAGAGAGAGAGAGGCAGAGACACAGGAGGAGGGAGAAGCAGGCTCCATGCCGGGAGCCTGACGTGGGACTCGATCCCGGGACTCCAGGATCGCGCCCTGGGCCAAAGGCAGGCACTAAACCGCTGAGCCACCCAGGGATCCCCAGTAGAGGCATTTCCAAAGTTTAAAGACCTCATTGGTCATTCGCAGCATATCCTGGAAGGCCCAGCGGTTGTTCCCAGGAGCAGTGTGGTCAAAACACAGCTCTACTACTCAATGCCAGGGGACCTTGAATAAATTACTTAACACACTTGCACCTCAGTTACTTTGTCTGGAATGGGATGGTACATTGTATGCTGTGCAGCCTCTGGCAGAGAGTAGTAGATGTCCCCCATCATACCGTCCTAGTGAAGAACACTGATACTGGCCAGAGTCCCACACACCACAGGAGCTCGGTGAGGTTTTTGAGAACAGTCTCTTTCCCGCTCCCCTCCTCTCCCTTTCACCCAGAAGACAGGTAGCATTGGGCCTTGGAAACCAAGGAGGTGTTCCTCGGCTCTACTCTGATGGGCAGGGTGAGGCAGGAATGCTGGAAGCTCTCAAAGAGATCTGGCATTAAGCAAGCAAAACACTGTAAACAAAAGGACTCATTGGCAAGATCCGGGAGCTCTCTGAATGGAGAGGATGAGCAGAAGTGTGGACTCCTGGTACCAGCAGAAAAGCTCCGGCTACTCCCTGACGTTCACACTACAGGCAGGGGGCACGGACTGGCCTTCAGGGTTGGAGAGGGCAGGACACTGATTAGGCCGTGGATCCCCAAAGGAATGGTTAATGGGCTACCAAAACAATCACAGCTTTGGGAGAAGATACTATATGTCAGTTGTTAAAATATGAAGAGAAAGGACTGAGAAAATTCAGGAAAGTAGACTATAGCTGAATAATTGCTAAGTGTTGGAGATTTTTTTTAAAAAATGTATGTTTATACTCCAAAAAAAATCTTTTCACATTATTCTTACAATATTAAATATTTTAAAAAATGAACCCAGCATGCCACCCAGAAAGGGCTTTTTTTTTTTTTTTTTTCAAAGCACCAAGAAAAGGCAAGGAGGGGCCGAAGGGGAGCTCAGGTCAGTAAGGCCCAAGAAAATGAGCTCAGTGTTGGTTTGGGGGCAGTGTGGTGGGCTTAGGGTGATTTGTCCAAGTAGACATGCTACCCAACTGGGCTTAAGTTCCAAGGTTCCATCCTGGAGGGGAGACCCAGAGGAGCACAGAGCAGCCTTCTCTCCACAGTGGGGTTGCCCATGTCCACATGGGCCCTGGTGGCCACTCCCCAGCTGTCCGTGGGGTACCCTTCATGCCTCGAAGTGCATCATGCAAAGATCAGTGCTAGTTTCATGCTCTCGAGCTACAAAATTAGGATGTTGGGGTGGGAAGTAGAATTTCAAGATGACCTAGCTCCTCAGTACCTAGATCAGAAAAGTGGTCCAGAAAGGGAAAGGCACTGGCCCTTGGTCACAGGGCCAGGAGTAGGAATTCCCTGCTCTCCTCTCACCCACTTCCCTCAGCACTGCTAGTCTTGGCTCATTAGGTCATGGTTCCCTCAGAGCATAGTCTCACTTTTTCTGTCCAGAATTCCCATGGGAGAAGCTTGCCCATTTCAAACCTCTGGCTGTGAGCAAAGTCTCCTCAGAAAGAAACCACAGCATGGATCTGGAGCGACCCACTCACCTCTGCCACCCTCTAGTGCTCCAGAGGCCATGGAACAGCCCCTTTCCTCTTCCCTGGGGGGCAGGCAGTAGCCCTACCTTGGATGGATCCGTCCACATTCACCACCTGCTCCCAAATCCCACTGGTCCTGTCCCTTCAAGAGCTCTGAGTATCTTCTAGCTGTCAAACCAGCAGGATAGGTGTTCATGGGAAAGTTCTACCCAGGGCCTCTCACAGGGGTTCTCACAGGGGTTCTCAGGGCTCTCATATAGTTTGCCATTGGTTACTTTTCTCTACAAAAATCTTTAACATTTAAAAGAAAGATTCACAAACATTTTACATTAGATCCTCACACCTTATATCATAGCTATAAATTTGCTTTTTGGCCAACCTCTCCCCATTTCTCCCAACACCAGCCCTTGGCAACCACCATTCTACTACTCTCTTCTTGAGTTGTCCTTTTTTAGACTTTACGTATAAGTGATACAATTCAGTGTCTTTCCCTGCCAGACCTATGTTACTTAGCATAATGCCCTCAAGTTCCATTCATGCTGTCACAAATGGCAGGATTTCCTTCTTTCTCATGGCTGAATGATATTCCATTGTCTATATGACACATTTTCTTTAGCCATGCATCCACTGATGAATTTAGGTTGTTTCCATTTCTTGGCTATTGTGAATAATATCACTGGTTTTTAATGTAGGTTAAAGACTGTCTTACACATCTGGACATGCAGGTAGTTTGTCTAGTTCCATGTGCTCATTGATCCCTTAGGGACCCTCAGGAGCTGGGTTAATGATGGGAATATCTGGCCAGAAGAGGTTTTTTGTTTTGTTTTGTTTTTTTGTTTTTTCAGAAGAGGTATTGATCACGGAGAGGGAGGGAGAGAAGGAGGGGTTCTCCTAGGCTCCTCTCACACTGTCTGCTGCCCTGGCCAACAGCACAAGCTCAGCAGATGCTCGCTTAGCCAAGGCCTAAAGGCTTGCCGAGTACTCAACCTAGAATAGTCAAGAGCACAATACATTAGGCCAACTGTTGAATTATAAATAAAAGGATAAAAATATACCCTACTGGAGCCCCGTTCATTGGCCTTTCTGCCTTGGGCTTGTACATGGGGGTGAGACTAGTGCCTGCCTCATGGTGTGGTGAATGTTAAATGAGTTAATACCAGAATCCATCTGTGAGCTGATGCGTCTCCACCCCAAGTCCCAATCTCCAACCCAGATATATGCCTGCATCCCCTCCTGGCTTCACATGGATGTTACACAAGCAGCTCAGACTCAGCCTATCATAAGCCAGACTTAAAGTCTCCCAAAGCCCCCATCCCCACACATGCCCCAACGATGGCTTCTCGTGACCCAGGTCACAGGGAGTTGTTTACTTGCCCGTGATTCCTCTCTCTCCCCTCCCATGTCTGATCTAAAGTCCTGCCAGGTCTGTCTCTGAGGTGCCTCCTCATTTTTGCAGCTACACCCCTTGACCCAAGTCAGCATCTGGCTTGAGCTCAGGCAATTGCCTTTGTTGGGTGAATTTATTTTCTAACTATAGCCAGAAATGAGGTCATGCTCCTCTGCATTGAAACCATAATGGCTTCCCATTGCCCAGAACAAAAATTCCAAATTCCTTTGATGGCTTCCATGGCATGGTCTTTGGCTGTGCTGCTTCCATTCCTTTGGGTGACCTGCACTCCCTCTCACAACTGGGCCTGCCCTCCTTCTACTGGTAACTTGGTGGCCCCAGGCCCTGTGCCTTGAGGCTTCTTGTTTAGGGTTCAGGTTGCGTATTACTTCCTCCAGATGTTGCCCTGAGCACTCCAATATCATCCCCTCTCTACTGTCACCACCTTTGTGAGTTAACTGCCTTCCTGATAATATAAGCTTGTTCTTTGCTGCGTTGGGCGACCCAGCATGCTGCACGGCGTGCAGTTGGTGTTCCAGTGTTTGTTGAATGAAGGAAACTGGGGACATGGCTGAGTCTGACCCTAAGACCATGCAGGATCACACCTCAGTGGCACATACATTTCCTGCAACAGATGCTAGATAAATTTCAGACCATGGCCAACCAGATCATTGGAAGAATTGATGACATGAGTGGTCACATTGACGACCTGGAGAAAAACATTGCAGACCTCATGACACAGGCTGGGGTGGAAGAACTAGAAGGTAAAAACAAGATACCTGCCACACCGATGAATTGAAGGTTGCTAATTTACACTGAAATCTGGAACACCGTTTTTACAAGCCAAGAGAAGAGTGAATGGCTTTCTGAAGCAACTAGTATGTGTAGACATATTTTCTGTTACAAAGTGTGTGTCTTTCTTATCACATATTATATAGTTTGTAGAGTGATTCCTCCCCCCCCCACCCAACCTCCCCACCCAGCTTCTTGAACATGGTAACTTCACATCTTGGACTTTGGTCAGTTGTGCTGTTAAATATTAAACACTAAAACTTTGTTGGTTCCTGCATAAAAGTGTCAAATTTTTTATTGCAAAAAAAATTTGTTGAATGAATATTGAACTGATTAAGTACCCACCATGTTCACGGACCCCACCAGGGCCTTCATTTAGGTTATCCCGTTTGCACCTTACCACAACTTCTGTGGTCTTACAAAAGCACCAGGAAGTCCGGCTGCCAGTGGGTGTTGGACCAGGAGTTGGCCCAGGCCTGACACTAATGCCTGAAATCAGCATTTCCCAACCCTCAGGCACTTACACACAGGTCATCAATTGTCCTGGTTTTCCTGGGACTGAGAGGGTTCCTGGGACATGGAACACAGTGCTAAAACCAGGAAAGTCCAGGCACATCAGGACAATTTGTCACTCACTGTATTAACAGGCCACAATGTTGTCACATCGGTATGTTACTTAGAACTTACTCTACCATTACTGTTTTTACAAACTTGCTTTTACACGGCCTTATCCTAAGACATAAATCACAGCTGTGACGGATGGTTATAGTTCGGCTAATGTGCAATAAAATGGGCACAATTATTAAAAGGACAAGTGGTTTGTCTGTTTATCATATAAAGCTGCCTTGCAGAGCCTCAAGGGTGAGCCTGGCCTGCTTTGGGAAACCCCGTCCACCT